TTTGAAAGGTGACAGGCCAATTATACCCTGGACCCCATGGTTAAACTTTTAACTAATTAATTACTTTTCAAGTAATTAATTGCTTTTAGAATCTTGCAACTTAGTTACTAACTCAGTTACGTTTTTTGAAGAAGTAACTAGTGACTATTACAACATTACCCTTTTTTTCACAATCTTTATTGACAGACTTTACGTCCCCAGTTAAAAAAAAACTATGGACGTAAAGTTTTTGAACATGAACAATAAAAATAAACAAATAAAAATAAAAACAAAACAAATGGAATCAAATTAAATAAATAAAATAAAGCTTTTGTCTTTTACATCGTGGTAGAAATGAAATAAAAAGAGAGAACCTGAAATCTCAAGGATGCTTCGCGACAGCTTCCGGACACAGCCGAAGCGCACCCCGAAGCCGTGACGCAATCAACGAGCGACGACAGCTTTGATTGTTGTTTGTGCAAATCGTGGCCAGACAAAACTCAGTTTGTTGTTTGACTGACAAGGTATAGTAGAAATATGTTTCTTGTAGCTTCTTGCTGTGGTTTGGCTCATCAAATCCGGCAGACTTCGAGTAATGACTCGCAGCTCGTTCTTTGTCTTTTTGCGCCCCCAACTTCCTCTTGAAAATGGAGGAAATGTGTGTAGTCGTTGCTTTGTGTTTTCGCCTGTGCTGCAGCTAGCTAACTTAGCTCGCTTGAGCGCAATGACAAACTTGTGCAGAACTTTGTGCAACGTCATATTATGCCACCCGTTAAATAATTTGGTGGTGCATTATATTGCTGAATGATGCGCGGACCTGCTCCGTTTGTTGGAGCCCAAATGTCAGACTGGGGCAGCTAACGGAGCAGTTTTCATTTAACTTAATAACGTAAGTGAATTTTACCAGGCGTTTGTAACGACAGCAATTCCTCCCTGTGCAGTTGCTAATTCATATCACGCTCAGAGTTTCCCCGAGCCACATAGTACTCTTTAAAAGGCAGCATTAACTTTAAGAGGACAGTAGCATGCAGTGTTAGTCATGTGCTTAGTATTTGTGGGGAAAAGTGACGTCGCGCTGTAACAACAAGTGAATCCTGTCGGGACATCAAACCACCTGTTAATCAAACAGCGACGTACTTAAATGCTTTTTAACCAAGCAGATAAATAATCAAAGTGCCTGTTTTCGGTTTTTGTTTTCTTTTTAGCTCCTCAATTTAGGTGTCATAGCAAGGGATCATCTGCCCGCATCTCACCCTGTCTCTAGCATCCTCCTCCGTCACACCAACCCTCTCATTCATTGCATCCATGAACCTTTTCCTCCTTCCTGGCAGCTCCATCCTTTGTCCAATATGTCCAGCATTTCTTCTCTGCACATGTCAAAACCATCACTAGTCATAGTACCTACATTTAAAGGCCCTGCTTTCACTTCCACACACCTGCCTTTCTGAACATGCCTTCCTCCTTCCCTCTTGCTTTGTCTTCGGCCAACAGTAGCCCAGTTTCTACAAGCACTGGGAAGCGGTCGCTGTTAACCCAGGCCCTGACCGATCCTGTATAGAAATCTCCTCCTTGATGTTCCGCATGTTTGATTTTAGAAAGATTTTACACAGGATGCCCTTCTCGATGCAACCCTCCCCATTTATTCAGGCCCGAGACCAGAACTAGAGTACACTGGCTTGTGGCCTGGTCTTATCTATTTTTTTCTTTTTTTTTGTAGGTTCAAAGTTTGTTTTTGGTTTTTTTTGTGTCATCTTAAGACAATCATGTTGATGTTTACATGTCCCTGGAAATTAATCATTAACAATTCACTCCACGTTTGTGAATTGGAGGGATACAGGTGTGTGAGTGAAGGTGGACGACTTAAAATACCCACGAGCAGCCACTGAAATCAATGCACACTGCAAAAGATGGGTGAAAAAGAGACTGCAGACAGGGCGGGGTGGGTGGTGATGAGTGTCAGGGGTGATTTTTGGCAGAAGGATGGTCGCAAGAGTGAAAAGAAAGGTTTACAAGATGGTGGAGAGTCATCATTTAGTGAGTTCTGTTGAGCTTAATTTGGCAGTTTTAAACGTCAGGAAGATGAGATGGTTTGGACGTGTGTAAAGCAGGGATTGAGGATGTGCTCGGCAAAGGATGTTAAAGATGGAGCTGCTGTGCAGGAGGAAAAGAGAAAGACCGCAGTGCAGATTCCTGTAGTGAAGGAGGATGTGCAGTAGGGTTGGTGTGACAGAAGGTGACACTAAAGATGGGGGGAGATAGAAGCAGCTTCCAGCTGCTCCCCGACTTAAAACAGAGGAACACTCCTACTAGTGAGAGAAGCCAGGGCAAATTTTATTTGATGCACATCTTGTATGTCTGATTTATTTTCTGTGCACTGCGATGTGTGCATCTTTTTAATTGTTTTGGTTTCCTTGCCTCAGTTGAAATCCCACCTGCTGTTATATCGTAGGCCTGCTTTTATCTGCGTTTGTGCTGCTGATATAAACGTGTTTGCTGAAGTTGAGCCTCGCAGAGCAAAAACCGACTTTTTCTCTCTCCTTTTTTTTCTTCTCTACCAATTAGGAGACCATGGCGGATTTATAACGCACAGAAAAGTGTCCAACCTGCACATTCATGTCTGCTGTCGTCACCATCTATGGTTGGAAAAGCTTAAGAACAATGGCAAATGTACTGGCTAGAAGAACACCTAAAGGGAAGCGAGAACATAACATCTAGAAAGGCTGTTATACTGCCGGTCCAACAAACCAAAAGGGAAGCGAGAGCAGAGAGCGGGTATTGGGATGGGGTTAAGAAGCCAAAGGAGGACGTCATGGTTCACAGCGGCTCTGCTTCCCCAATGAACACAACACCGTCAGCATCACCTCATTTAACTACAGCACCTCCTTTAGTCCCTCCGTCTGGAGGTACTACAGATCAGGACCAAACCCAGTCCCCTGCTAAACTCCTCACCGCAGGCCTTACGTCCAACTCTGATCTGACTCAGACCGGCACTCCTGCTGATACAGAGCAGCCTGTTGTAACTCCAGCCAAAGCACTAAGTACTAAGTC